TAAAAATGAAGCACGAGCCAACAAGTCTCGAAAAAAGTAACATTTAAAAAAGGAAACCTTGTGTGGATCTACCTTAAGAAAGAGCGATTTCTTGTAAAAGCACACAGGAAACTCAAGCACAGTACCGATGGATCTTTTCACATACTTAAAAAGCTAAATGAAATTGCCTACAAAAGTGAGCTACCGAATGACTCCAAAATTTCATCACAATTCAATGTCATGGATCAGTCATGGATCACACCCCATACTACGACGAACCACAAGCTTCGACAAAAGATGTCGAAGCTCCATTGACCAATGGAGATTGCCATGGGGCTGCTTGAGCCTGTCAGGTCCAGCGCGAAAAGAAGTCGGTCCAGCCTTCATGATGAATCGAACCGTTCAAATTCCAATTCTTATTACTTTCGCCCCTGCTCTCGCATATGATTCGCTCGGCTTCTTCCACCCCAGGCCCTATCTCCCACTGCACCTCCTAAACGTTGCAATGGCCACTTCAATACCTTCCATTTGTACCAACTTCCTTCCTAAGATCTTGCCTTGGTTGTCTCCCTTCTTCCCTATTTTATGCATGCTCTTTCTTAGGTCTAACCATTTGTTGATTTTCATATTTCAGGTGCTTCTTCCTGGTGTTCCCTCTTCGAGGGTTGTACCCTTTGGCGGTAGTGTTACGATTGCATCTCGCTCAAGGTGGTGTGCATCTTCGCTCTGTTTCCTCCTCTGGGCGTCACCCTCCACCGCTCCCAGCTCCATCCAGCTGGTGGTCCGCACTCACAGCTCCCTCCAGCGGCACAGACGAGCCAAACCTCCCTCCACGTTGTCGTACAACACTCCTGCACCTCCCCCTTTCCCGGTCGTGCCACACAGTTACTCCACAACAGGTTGTCGCACCTCATGCTACCCCTAGCCGTCCTAAACTACTCCTGTGCCATCTTATGACAGCTTCTAGGTTTGTCGTCTCCTTAGGCATTCGGCTAGAAGTCGGTTATTCCCCCCAGCCTCACCTTGGCGGATTTCCAACAACCTTCTGGGACTATTGCACCGATTTCGCCGCATTCCAGGACTGTTTCTACCTCACCATCAATCTAATTTTGCATTCAATGTTTCTTTATTGTTTCTGTGTTGTTTCATTTTACTATTTATGTGTACTTGCTGTTTATGTGCTATTTTGGGTGAGAAGTCGTTATTGTACTCATTTTTAAAATTCAGCAATAAAATTTATCTTGTTTGAGTCGCGATTTGGGTTAACTTTCGTATCAATATATTAACTAAATTTAAGCATCTTTTGTCTCATTTTTCTATCTCATAGTCATACATTAAGTAGAAACAAGTAGGTTGAGGGAAAAAAAGGGACGAGGAAAGGGAAGGAAGAGCAAAAAAAATAAGCGGGGAAGAAGGAGAAGGAGGTTAAGTATTAAATTAAAGATTCGGTTTTTTTTTTTTTCCTCCAACCTAGGATTTTAATTCAATATAGTTTTGTGTTAAATCTTATAGGAGAAATAAAATTGAGATGAAAGCGCACTTTAGGTTAAATTAATTTAGAATTAAATTATAAGCTAGAAAAATTTTATATTAGGGTATTTGCATTTTTTTATATAGATTGTATAAAAAGGAAGTTTTTGGGAGTTCAATTCGAGGAGGCCGATCGTCAATTATGTATGAGATGCAAATTCTAATACAAAAAAGAAAGTTTTTTTAATCATTTACATATTCATCTATATTATAAAATAGCTTACTACTCGGGTAAATGACCACACATGAATTTTAATAATTAAAGCTCTCAATTAAATATATTATAATCGTATAAGGCAAAAAAATTGAGCACATATGGGTACTCAAACCAATATGCTTTTAAAACATGCCTTTATAAAACGACAAAGATAAGTCTCCATCTAGCAGCTACAACTCCCTCAACAGTCATCATGCCAGCCCAAGGTCGAAATCTTATCTGCTATCCTACAGTCGCTCACCCCCTTCACGGTCACCCTAATGTGTCATTTTATGACAGTTATCATCTAATTCATGTTTTGTAATGAGTCATCATTGTAACCCTATTTGAATTCAGCAATAATATTTATATTTCTTATGGTTTGGGTTAACTCCGTTATCAAAGGAGTTCAAAACAAAAAAATAAGCTCTAGTGGCAACGGAAAAAAAAACCAAATAGAGCTTTGATTGTATTGTCTCAAGAAGTCAAAGCAACTTCATAAATAGTAACAGATATTATTAACATTTCAGATGTGGTTGCTAGAGCATTTTCTTATTCCAGAGCATCACATTCTTTCATGTTTGGTTTCATCTTTGCTAGATTGCATCTGAAACCGTATTCATTTTACTCCCGGTATAAATGTTATGCCACTTGTGATTATATATTTGTTAGTACTCTGTGCTACCTAGTAGAACATTTTAATATGAAATGATTTTACTGCCACAGACCAAGTTTGATGAGATTTTGGGTCTAAATTAGTAAATTAAATATTATGCTACTAATGAGTATAGGAAGAAGTCGGGTTTGATTTATCAAATGATAAGAGGGTCTATTTTAATTGTGAAAAGGAAGAATTTTGTCATCTTCAATGTAAAAAATGAGCAGTTTCTTCTTCTATTAATTATATGAAAGTAAACAAATGGAGGAAACTGGTGAATTAATATTTTTGAAAAATTAGAAGCAGTTAAAAAAATTGGTGATATAAGCAATATTCCTGTGTTGAAAAAATATAATAAAATAATAGTAAGTTATACTAGGATTTTATTTATTTCTTACTATTTTCTATTTATATATTTCCTTGTGCTTCCGTTTAGTTAGAAGAGCTTTTATTTTTAGTTTATTTGCAATTAAACATGTTAATTTGATCGAACTAAAGCATAAGTCCAATTTGAGATCCAGTAAGAATAAACCATAATTGAATGCAGAAAGTGAAAACAAGGAAGAATGACATATGCTCGGATCCCATACCCATCAAAGTATCCCTGGGAGTCAGATATGATCAATGCTGCATAAAACCCATACATGTAATTAATCTTCAACTGAGACGATCATTGAATCATTATAACCAAAAAAAAAAAAACATCAAAAAACAGATTCAACAAACTGAGAGACAAGTTAAATGATGCTCGGACCCTAAGGGCTCCGAGAAGATTGAGGAAAGAATGAACGCAGCAGCGACAGGGACGGTGATAGGATGTGGAACGAGGCATATTTCACCATGGGATAAAGGGGGTAAAGTGTGTGTGACTGTACCTATTTGCATAACTCAATAGGGAGATTCAAATCTTCACTCGAATCAGGAGCGACTCCATAAGTGGAGAGAACATCGTACCTAGGATGTCAGTCGGAGCCTACTCAAAGACCAGCAGCAAGGCAGTGGGCTCGATGGCAAGGGCATTGGGGCGAGTCTCAACAAAGATTGTTGTTGAGGAAAGAATGAACGCAGCAGCGACAGGGACGGTGATAGGATGTGGAACGATTAAGGGGGTGAAGTGTGCGTGACTGTACCTATTTGCATAACTCAATAGGGAGATTCAAATCTTCACTCGAATCAGGAGCGACTCAATAAGTGGAGAGAACATCGTAACTAGGACGTCAGTCGGAGCCTACTCAAAGACCAGCAGCAAGGCAGTGGGCTCGATGGCAGGGGCATTGGGGCAAGTCTCAACAAAGGGTTTTGTATGACGAGTATAGACAAGGAGAGGGGTGGTGGTGTTAGCCAAGCTGATGGTAATCCAGCGGGGCCAAAGGTGCTCCAAGAACAATGGCTCTAGGAATAGGAAAAATGTCCAGCAAAATAAAAAAAAAAGAATAGTGTCCAAAAAAATCAAGCTCCCCCTCATTTGAGACACGGTTAGGGAAGAAGGGGATATTTTCAAAAAAAAAAATGCCAACACTAACATAGATTTTATTGGTGATAGGATCAAAACACCGATAACCTTTTTGAATGGTGGAAGAGTTGAGGAAGAAACATTTAATTGAGTGGGGATCAAGTTTACTAAATATTAGGGCTAAATTTTGAACAAAAGCCATGAACCCAAAAATTTTGAGATCAAACAAGGAGAAGAACCGATTGGTAGAAAAACAGACGAATCATGGGGTCCAAAAGTTGTGAATTTTTACCAACCTTTTGTATTGACAAAGGCATTCAGTTCAATTTTTCAAACAAACATTAAATTTTCCCTAAACTCTAAATAAGCGGTGAATGTATATCAATGGACCCGCAAAAAAAAGTGAGCTAAATAATGGAATAGCCGTGGTCGACCAGTGTTAATAAGATCAAAATTTTCTTAGATTGGCAAGCTCTTATAGAAGATTTGTAAAAGAATTTTCAGAGATTGCACTGCATTTATCCAGAGTGGCAATAAATTATGTTAAATTTGATTGAAATGAATTAGTGAGCAAAGCCTTTTAAATTTTAAGAAATATTTGACATCTACACCAATATTGATAATTTCACCTAAAATTGAAGGATTTCATATATACAGTGATGCTTCCTTAAGGTTTTCAGTTGTGTTTTAATATAGAATAGGAGAAAAGGGTAGTTGAAGGTTAATATACTTGGAGTGATTTTGAATTTAAACAATCCTTTAGGCTACCAGTCATGTTGCATGCATGAAGAATTATTTATAATTGCCAATAATTTAATACTAAAGATGTAACATACGAAAGGACTCAACTGAAATCCATAGCTATAATGAAGCTTTGCATGCAACTAGTTATCACCTTTCTTTGAGGAGATGAAAATAATTACGTTAGAAGTTCAAAGTCTTTCTTGATGCTCGTAATTCCTCAATTTGCATTAAATAAGTCTTCAATTGTTAATATTCCTTAAAATATACAAAACAATATGCAAAACAGCACTACACTATGATTAATTGTATAAAATCAACATATATCTTCTCCTGATTGTAAGCAGTTTTATCGAGTTAAACAATTATCAACAGGAAACAAGTCAGAGAAGAAAGTTTCAAATATAAAATTGTGGTGGATAAGATGGATGGTACTATCTTACAGAGAAGAGTATGTTTGTTTTATCTTGATAGACAGCATTTGTGGCCGAAGTAGATTCAAGGTTCTTTGCCACTGAACAGCTCTCACCTATTATCATATAGAAAAAATTGAGCATATAGCTAACCAAAAAAGCACACAAAATAAAAGATGAATAAAAAATAAGTACATAAGAGTTATGCAATAACCAGATGGACACAACATTAAGAAAATAATCATAAATTTTCTAAAAGCATAACAAGTTAAAAAAATAAACTTGCAATATTTCTCCAAAAGTCAAACTTGAAGAAGTTGACAAAATTATATCCAAGCCGCCTATAAGGGTCTGCCTGGTGTAAATCCCGAAAGGCAAAACTGCTGAGCTACCCCCCTTCCCCTCATAAAATGAACGGAAATATAGTCCAGACAAAACAGTTGCAAAATGAAAAGCTAAGGGGGTGTTTTCTAGCGCCTTCTAATGGGATTTATTACCAAATTTTTTAAATCCAGCCAAACGCAAAAATGCAAGAATTCCGTGGATTTATGAATTTTTGAATTTAGGGTCCCAAATTTTGCCTTTGCTTGGGCTTAAATCCAGATTTACTAAATCCAGGGATAGGGTGAATTTAACGGATTCACTAAATCCATCTAAGGCAAAATCCTACTTGCAACCCCCTAAAACTGATCAATGATTTAATATTTACGAACGCAAGACAAAATCACATACCAGTGAGAATCGCTTGATCAACACGCAACTGATTACTAAGCATTTCAATCATTCTCATATCAGCAGGTACCTTGCAGCCCACTATCCAATACCAAAGAACTTTTAGAAACCAAGTAAATTATAAGTGCAGCTTACAAATTTGCTGTCATGAAAGGGAAAAAAACAAATTTACCTCCAACTTCAACAATATCTCCAGGTACAAGTTCTGTGGCAGATAAAATTGAAAAGCAGCCTGTAGAATAAGTTAAGGTCAATTTCTACTAGTATTGTAAATTAGTAATCAGGATTTTTTTTTCCTCCACTTATTAGTAAGTGCCACTTATAAAAAGGGTAAATCCAGTGAATAGAGCTCCAAGCTAATATAGGGTTTAGAAAAAGGTTTGCGTACTCAACCTTCTTACCACCCACACTATAAGAGTGCTAGTATTCAAAACTTAATTTATGACCGTCAAAATATAATAGAGACAACTTTGACAGCTGCACCACCCTTTAAATCTAATAATTCAACAAGGAACCAAGATTATAGATAACATGATTTAGGCTGCGTTTGGGGCAGCTCATTAGGTTGCAGCAGCGTTTTGAAAACGGCGTCGCAGTGTTTGAAAAATGCATTGGGTCAGCTTATTGGTGCCGCTCTGAAACGCTGAGTGGGAAATTGTTAAGAGTGCGAAGAGGGAGGCCTCCCGCATCCTGCGCCTGCGTAGCGCGTTAGATTGAAGATTTCCTGCTATACCCTTCTCCGATCTCCCTTGCTCTCGCCTTCTCGATCTACCTTCTTATTCCTCACCCACGCCGAGATCGAAACCAAGGTAAATATTTGTCATGAAAATCGCCAATCTCGCCCTCTCCGATCTTTCTTCTGCTCATTCTCGTCTCAAATGAGGTATGTCTTCTTCTCCTCCCTGATTTTCTATTGGTGTGCACTCGATATGAGCTAATGTATGAGCTAAACTCTGTCGCGATCTAAGGGTGTGGTCTGAGCTAAACTCTGTCATGTATTTCACCATTTAAAAAATCCTTCATAGAGAAGGGAGCAGAGAAGAGATTTTTTTTTTTATCTAAGGTTGTTGTTGGCAGACTTCTCAAAATTGTGGTAGTATATTTGGAGTCGGTTGATTTGGATCAATTGAAGGAGTGAAAAATTTGGAAGGAGCTGAAATGTGGATCCACCGTGTTGGGTTGGGATCCCGTTAAACGAACAATTGATGCTCCCGATAAATGGTGGGTTGAGAATTTAGAGGTACTCACTATACTCTCATTTTGTACACTATTATTTTTTTCAGTTTTTTGACTAAATCTCTCCTTCTATACAATGATACAGGTCATGCCAATAGCCAAAAAATAGAAACAGTACGGAATTGAGCTGAATTTCGAAGAAAAACTGGACATTATGTTTAAGAGGATTGTCGCGACGGGAAAGCATGCATTCAACCCAAGCGAATTGGGGTTTGTTGAAATGCAAGATGACTTGTCACCTGAACAGGTTATAGCCAATGAAGGACTTAGTATTAACCAAAAGTAGATGGAGGAGTCCAGTTCCATGTCCAAAAGGCCCAGGCTTGGCAGGAGGAAGAAAGAGAATGACACTTTCGTGAAAAACTCATTCGATCAACTAATTGTTACTTTTGCAGCTCAACCTCCTGCTGCTCCCACTGACAGCACCATCTTAGACTGTGTTGTCAGTTGGATATTATTCCAGAAGTAGTTGTCGATATGCGCTTTCAGGCAAAATTTGTTAAAAAATTTAAAGACCTTACTCGTAGGCAAATATTCATGGCGCTGCGACCCGAGTTACGCATTGAATATTTAGGTGTTTTAGTAGAAAAATGTGTTTGTTTTATATTAAACTATCATTAGATTTTTCTCTTATGTATTTTTATCTCAACAATTTTATTTAATCTCCTGGACCATTTATGTAATTCATTTTCTAATGTTTTGTAGTCCTTTTTACTATTTCATTCACTTCTCCATAAATTATTTCACCCTAATACATTTCTCATTTCAAGATGGATCCACAGCAAGAACGTCGTATAAGAATGACATGGGTTGCAGCAATTGCGATATTATGGCTGGAATACTACCGCTCCAGCACTGAATGGATGCCACGGATGACGTCTTCCTATGTTGGGGACAAATGGGTGGGTGATATGTTTACTGGACATCTGATAAGATTCAGCAACATTTTTCGAATAACAACGCCCATTTTTATGGATCTTCTTCAAGAGTTATGTCTTAAACACGGTCTACAAAGTTCTTCTAGAATGATGACCACTAGAGAGGTGTTGGCTGTTGGCTATAACATTATATATTCTCTCACAGAACGAATCAGTTAGAGGAGCTATGGAGCGATTTCAACATTCCTCAGAAATAATTAGTCGATACTTCTCCAGAGGTAAATAAGCACTTGTGAGCTTAGCAGCACAAAACATTAAGTCAGCAGATCCATCGTTCGCAACTATTCCTGAACAAATTGCAAATAATCTTCGTTACATGTCATATTTCAAGGTAAGTTTTATTAGTTCATTACTGTAACTTCATAATGTGTTGAGTTGCTAACTGTGAAGAACAGAACTCCATTGGAGCAATCGACGGTATGCACGTAGATGCCCGACTACCAAGCCACGAAAAGGTCGCGTATATTGGTCGGAGCAACACAACTACCCCAAATTTAATGGCAGTATATGATTTTAACATGTGTTTCACATTTGTAATTGCGGGATGGGAAGGGAGTGCACATGACAGCTATTTTTTTTCCTATGCAACTAGGAATAGAACGCAGTATCTCTCACCCGCCTCCAGGTTTGTTTATCTATGTAAACCTATAACTTACATGTATTTATTTTTATTAATATTATTTCTCTCATACAATTCTGTTGCAAACAGTTTCACCAAACATTGACAGAATTGTCATTTATCCAGCAATAGCTGGCAATAAGCTATTCTAAATAAGCGCCCCCAAACAACAAGTCAGCTTATTATGATAATATGCAAATTATTAAATTATAAGAATAATTTATTTATCAACAGATTATAAATAATCAACAACTGCCCCAAACAGACCCTTAATTAAAAAATGAAACAGCCCGAGTCAAGTAATATAAGCAAATGCAAAGAACTCATTGACATAGAATGTCTCCCGCAACGAAAGTAAGATTCTGCTTTGTACCTGTACCGAACCGGTCCAGGTATATTTGTGGTTGTGGAGTTGGGTCACTCCTAGTTATCCTATTAATATATATTCATTCTCATATCTTAGGGTTACTTTCATTGTGTTTTCCATTGGGACAGCTGTCAATCTCTTCCAGTTCTCCCTCATTATATTTGATTCTACTGCCCCCCCCCCCCCCCCCCCCTTCCGCCGCCCCTTCTCTCCCTACTGCAGCCTCCGGACAGCCATAGTTGTTGTCTGCTTGCAGCCACCTTTCATCCAGGCCTCTTCCTAACACACCACCCTATTCTCTAGTCGTCGACCATCCTTCAACCTGCCCCCCTTCTTCCAGCCATCATCTGGAAGCTTGCCTAATTATCAACACCAACCACCTTCCCTTCTAGCCATCCCCCTACCACTTCCCTCACCCAAACATCCTCCCACTGCAACCACCCTCCTCCAACCTCTTTTGTCACAGCCAACCTTTCATACATCCTCCATACCCACAGCTAGCCATGACCATCCTAACAGCCTTCTAAACATGCATAACTGCCCACCTCCTTCGAGATACACACCTAATTAAGTTTAGTATTGTGTCAGTTGTTGTTGTTCTCATTTTTGTGTGGGTTGAAACCACCTATAGCCTTTTAGGTGGTAATAATAATTTGTTTGCCTATTCATTTGGGGTAACTCTGGTATTATTTGGTATCAGAGCTAACCTAACCCTAATTTTATTGTAGAATTGCCCAAATCCACCAATAACCAACCCAATCTCCACCCAAAATCATTCTCCTTTGCTGATTTTTAAAATCAACCTTTTTTTTTCTTTTCCACCCAACCCCCTATTCCACATTTCCACCGACCCACACTCAAACATAATCATGCCATTGAGGAGACAATTGTTGGAAGCTTATCAAGAGCTTACCATGGAAGAGGTACAAACGCCAACGAGCTCTACAACGGCTTGACGAAATTGAGGAAAGAGATCATCAATCCGAGTGCTACAACGGCTTTATGAAATTGAAGAAAGAGCTCATTAAGGGGCCACCATTGAACGAGGTCGCGAGATCCGACGAGGAGAGAAGGTGGAACACCTAAATTTCATCCATAGGGGTGATTCTAATGGAGAAGAAGACGGGGCACGTCTCTTTGTGATTCAATACCAGAGGAGACCGAGAGATGAAATGTTTGTTGGAGAATACATGACTTAGGAGTGAAAGTGGATATACCAAAGTTCGAGGGAAGAATGAATCAAGATGACTTCATAGTGTAGCTAAAGACTATCGAGAGGGTTTTTAAATACAAGGATGAGTCAGATGACAGGAAAGTGAAGCTTGTTTCTATAAGGCTGAAGAAGAGTGTCTCATTGTGGTGAGAGAACTTGAAAGAGAGAAATAGAGAAGGAAAGAGTAAGATTACTACATGGGAGAAGATGAAGGGGAGTTGCAGCAACAGTACCTAGCCCACACTACCATCGAGATCTTTTCTGGAGACTCCACCACCTGCAACAAAAGAGCCTATCAGTGTAGCACACAATGGAGTTTATGTGGCTTAAGCTAAAATGTGATCTGACCGAGTCAGTGGAGCACACGATCGCCAAATACTTGAGAAACCTGAAGGTCACCATCGGCAACGTGGTTCAGCTGCATCCTTATTGGTCTTTGGACAATAGCACTAAATGGGAAGAGACAGCAAAAGCATAGCAGAAACCCACTGTCATTCAGATAATCACTCATTACAGTAGACATGAATAGGAGCACACCTATAGGAGTTGAGAAAACAGGTCAGGAGAATGATAGAGTTGTCCAGAGTGAGAAATAATTTGAGAAGAGCAGCACCCACAATACAGTCCCAGGAAAAAAATACTTCATATGGCATTGTTATGGACCCATTACTTCCAGTTGTCCAATGAGTCGATTTGCATTATTCACTGAGCAGGATGCAATGGAGGAGGTGCACGAGTAGGAAGTACTTAAAGAGAAAAGTGAGAACCAACTTCCACCTAAGAGGGCGAGATGTTTGTGGTTCGACAAGTCCTTCAGATTGAGGCTGCAAGGGAGCAACAATGGCTTTGCGACAACATA